GCACAGGCTGACTACTGAAAGTAACGGAAATCAAGGACTTCACCTGCTGGGCAAAATAGCATGACACCCAAATACTGACACTGGGCAAATGAACTGAGAGTAAGGTGCACCAAAACGAAGGGAACTATTTGTACTTGTCACTTTCCCATGCATTTTTAGAGGGCATTCCCCCTTAATGAATTCCAGTGTAATTCTGAAGTTCTGGAGATCTGGTCTCCTCTTTCTTCCTGAAGCACGCACTTCTAGTGACCCATAACATGCTCCCTGCAAGACCCTTCCAAGATTACACAGTGTGGAGTAACAAAAGAAAAATAAAAAGAAAGCTTATACCCGCACGACTTACAAGTAGGAAAAAAAGGTATTGGAGCAGGAGGTGAACATATTAGGAAGAAAACAACACAATAAGATAGATGGACTGGAATATTCTTTTACCTTTTGTTGCCCTGAAGGGTCAGTACTCCTCTACATTATAGTTTAAACAAAACTTGTCCTCAGAATGGACCTTTGTTTTCAGTAATTCAGAGGTAATATCCCATGAGATAACAGCATACATGTAAGAAGGAACACTGTCCCTTGTGATCTTTCTTCTCCCTCATTCTCTCAACTCCTTACCCACCACTCCCTGAGCTAGGGAAAAAAGCAGCTGAGACCTCCCCTGTCACACTGACTTAGCCTGGGTAGGAACTCAGGGTTACCACTCTCCCAACCGCAGCCGAAGGGCTTTTATGGCAAAGGAGGTCAAAGCACCGTAGAGAGCAGCAGGAAAAGAGGGCACAGCAGAGCTACGCCTTGTTGGAATTCCTACCATTCCTATGGAGACTGAACACAGGAAGATGACTATGAAGATGAAGGAGTAGAGCCAGGACAAAATTTGAAACTCTGAGGAGGGAAAGGAAAAAACAAAAAACACACCAATGCAAACAAACAGAACAAAACAAACCCACCAAAACCAAACAGAAAACTCCAGACAAACCCAAACCAAACAATACGCATGACCTCACTGTGAAGGCAAAACAGCAATCCAAGAGCCCATCAAGAAAAGGATATCTTCCAGATAATCCTTGCAATAGGCAGCCTGAAGCGACTGATTCAAGTGGCAATTTTTCAAAGTTCTTTAAAATCAACATACATATCTAAATTATTCTGAAAATTACTAGTCCAAGCCAGCGGCGACATTAGAACTTGGAACTATAAGCAATTCCTGAACAAAGGATCTGAGACTAGGTTTGCCTTTCACATGCGCATAAGGAGTTTGGTTTGTTTTTTTCACTGTTGCCAGTGCCAGTTGTCTAAGCAATGTATTGCCAAAGCCTGCCAATGTGGATTTAACATTGTCCAGTGGTACCACAACAAACACTGACACACATCTGGCAATGAAAGCAATGAACTAAGGCACTCCTCCTCTCCGAAATAAAATCATGCCTGTGTCCTCTGAGCTGCGTTCCAACATCAATCATATATAAATTACATTACTGAGTGCATGAAATGAAAGAAAGGCCCAAGAAAAGGCAACAGAAAATCCATTATATGTTTCATAATAAAGCAAAAGTTCTAGTATCTCTGATGTTACTTTAACTAAACAATAGCATCAGACTTCAGTTTGAATACTGACCCTTCTCCATAAAAATCAGACCATACTTACAAAAAATCATACTCGAATTTTGTTGCAAAGTCTTCCTCAGATTCTGCTTTACTTATTCCCAGCAAAACCCAAGGACTGTATTCATGTACAACACAAAAAATGCAAGTCTGTGAGGCAAAGGAATGCCTCATACATCCTCTGAAACAATCTCAGGGCATCATGACAACAAGGCATACCCAAATGCTTAAAAGGTTACAGTGCACCTTATGGCCCTGTCAGTTCTGGTAGTCAGCTCATGAAAGACCGGTACATATTCATCATCATTTTTCTAGTGTGTCCGAGAGATCCCAGCCTTCCTGAACCACTAGAACCACTTATGGGCATCAGCAGAGCAAATTTAAAACTGTGCCGCAGAGATGGTGCGTACCTTCTAGTTCTGAAAAATGTACAGGACAGATGAAGATGATCATTCATATGAGAAAAAGAAAGCAGCAGGCCCGTCAGGTGTTTTTGGTAGTTATTACTAAGCAGCTTTAGCAAAAAACTAACAAAACAGAGTCAACAAGAGGTGAAGAATAAAGAAAACCGAAGCCTGAGAATCCCATCCCATTCAAGGATCAGCAAGACTTTAAGGATAAAGTCAAGAAAAATGCACTTAAAATAGCATTGTTAACATACAGTCCAATGAAGTCACCTCCTCAGTTACATATTTTGAAAGCTGGAATGCCAAATACTGAGGCAGTAGTTCCTCGGTGATACCCTAGAGACCTATATAGGTCCGTAATGCACCAATATATTAAAGACTGTAGCCTTGGTAAATGGGAAAGTTACCTGTTCCTCACTGCCAAATTATGATCAACAGCAATGTGACACAATGAATTCAAAAGCAAGCCTGGCTTTGCAACCAATTATTATTATTCACTGTGTAAACACAAGAAGTGATTTATTAAGACAGAGATTATTAAAAAAAAAGGCGCCAGATGTAGTCATAGGAGACTGCATCCAACTACAGACAGAGGAAGGATAGAAAAATCTTGTAACAGAACAGACAGCAGACAGAAATTTGGACAGTACAAATAAAAGCTGACATTAATAATTACTATAAAATAACTGTACAGTACAAAATTAGAATTTATTGCAATTTCAGTGGGAGCGTAACAAGTTTATGATGTAATTAAGGATTTAAAATTAGCGTACAAGAAATTTCTTTTAAATTCATGGCAGCAAACATCTCTCTGTACAGTGAGGGTACTGTATTAGTAAACAATAAGGTGTGCTGTAAACAGACATGATGATACTTCACTGCAATAGCCAACAAACATTTCAGGAAGACAAAAATCACAGGACACTACAGAATACCAGGAAATATTTCCACAGTTCTATCAGCTCTATCCTATTACTTTTCATTTTTGCATCTATTTAGACTGTGTTTCCCCCAGCCCATTTACCTCTGTGACCTCCAAAATCTTTTGTTTTCCAATTTTCCAACAGAAAACTTTGAGCACCGCAGTCACTCAGCTGAC